TTGGGCAAGGACACAGGGCCCCATGATCCCCTATTGCCCGGGGGCCCCATGAGTTGTCAGTCCGCCCCTGAGCATAAAACTCATACAGTATGCAAGGAATATATATATAGGGATAGAGAGCCATGGATTCTTAGGATTGTGTAAATGCTAGGTCTCTGTCAACTCATCCCACCCCCTTCCCCACTTATCCGTTTTTGGCAAACACGATGTTCATGAGAGCCTGGACAAAAGAAGTCTATGTGTGTACCTTCATAGAACATGGCTATACTGGGATCCTAGTGCTGCTGAACCATGTTATTTTTATGAAGAAGCAAAGATGATATTTGTATAAAGGCCTACCACAGGAATGGAAGATAATGGAGTTTGGAGAATGTAAAGAAGCTCAAGCTTTCGCTTTTATGAAGCCATGTACAGAATTTTGTTATGGCTGAAATTCACCTTTACATATATTTCTCAAACAAAAGAAGTGTGTATTTAGTCCTCTTTTAGGCATACATTAATGGAAGATTCAAAAATAAAAAACTGCACACGGGCAGATGCCTGTGCATTACTGTGGAGGAGACCAGTAACTGCTGATATGCACTCATGACCAGGGGCGGACTGACGACTCATGGGGCCCCCGGGCAATAGGGGATCATAGGGCCCCTGTGTCCTTGCCCAAACTCACAAAAGCCTATGAAAAAGGTACCAGGGCATCTCATGGGGCCCCCTATTGACCCTGGGCCCTCGGGCAGTGCCCGAGTTTCTAAATGGTCAGTCCGCCCCTGCTCATGAATATGACAGGAGGCCAACCAAGATAATTGCAGTATGTAGGACTTGGTCTGACAGATGCTAAAAAAAAATCATAGGCCATTTGGTATTTTCAGAAGTTTAAAATGTTACTAAACCCAGGATCCTGCATTCACTATATCTGGTCTCCCACAGTACACACAACATGGAAATGCAATTATTTTAGTAAAAATAATTTTAGCAGATGGATTGGGGACAGCAAAGAAATGGCAGAATCAGACAAGACAGGATCAAACAGCCTTTTCACACAATGCATAGTATTAACCCCTTAGGTTCCACTGTGAGTATAACAAGCACGCTTTATTGCATATACAGGCTGATTTTACTGTTGCGGGTTTAGTAACACTTTAATGCAGCCCATAAATCATGCGATTTTCCTGCAACCCGAAAGAAAATTACTTGATTCTCCCATCAACACAGTCAGTGTTGATGGGGGAATCCCTCTAATAGAGTTATTGTGTCCTCCAAGCGTGGGGGTGTGGGGAGCTATTCCAGCCAGGAGAACACAGTGATTATTCCTAGCAGCTATAGCCGCTGGCAATAATAGCATGTGAAAAATCTGACATGCTGGTTGTACCCAAGTCATACAACACACTATCTGTATACAATCAGCCTGCTCATAGATGGTTCTCGAGATTCAGGCCATCTATGATCGGCTTAAGTAAGGTAGTATCTTTTTTCAGGTTATGATATCAGTATGATCTCAAAAATCTTTATTCAAATTAAAAACGTATACGATGTAACATTTGCCACTCATGCACTTTAAGGGATCTATTTATCAAAAGTTTTCTCCCCAAAGTCGCACATTTTTCTAATTGAATGTTATGAAAAAGGTGTGAATCATTGTTGACAGTTGAGTGAAAACATTGATAAATAGACATCTAAGAGTTTCTTACCAAAGCTATGATATCCCCAAGAAAATACAAACTGTTTGATACCCTCATAAGCCCACTTCTACCATGAAACAATCTGGAGCAGTTCCCTAGTTATAATAATGGCCTTTTATCACCCCAGTGCGGTAATTTAATTTAGATGCTTTTGTCAAGTCTCTAATCAACAAGCAACAAAAGCGACCAAACATTTTAACCACTTCCAATCCGGCCCATGTACATAAATGGCTGGACGGGAGCAGTGCAGGAGCGGGTGGCCATTTATAAACATCCTCCCGCATTCCCTGCCTGTGCGCTCTCCCTGGGAGCACACAGCACCTCAATCCGGTGCCTCAAATCATGGTATTTCCTGTGTCCGGAATACCGTTCGCTGTATGGGGACCTCTGTGTGAGGTCCCGATCATGTGATCACTGATTGGCCAATCACATGAATAGTACTAAGCAAGATGTCACTTCCTGACATCATTGCTTACTACATGTGAAATCTGTGAATGATCACAGAAGTCACATGGTACAAGGCTGATCACAACAGCCTTGTACCATGTGACAAACTGTGACCAATCACAGCTCTCGCAGTATTTCTCAATGGCTGCAAGAAAGCAATCAGTGTAAAAAAAGAAAAAAAAAAAACCCCTCCCGAGTAGTACAGTGTCACTATGCTGACACTGTACTGCTAGGGTGGCAGTATGTTAAAAATAAATAAAAATAATATTAAAAAATGAAATCATAAAAAATGTTTTTGAAAAATTATAATTTTTTGTTATAAACTAATTTGGGTTATTTTTTTTTTTTTTCACTAAAAAGATAGCTGAATACATTTTGGCCATGATTTATGAAGAAAGATTATTTATTTGCAAAATTTTATAAAAACACTTTTTTTCAAAATATTTGGACTTAATTTATATAGCAAAAAAATAAAAATCCCAGTGGTGAATAAATACCACCAAAATAAAGTTTTATCTGTCTCAAAAAAATGCAAAAAAATTCATATGGGTACAGTGTTGCATGACTGCGCAATTGTCATTCAAAGTGTGATAGCACTGAAAGCTAAAAATTGACCTGGACAGGATGGGGTTGAAAGTGTCCGGACTTGAAGTGGTTAAGTATCGTATTGTTAATTCCATGGCCTTCCTCTAATCCTGTACATTCAACTTGCCCATCCGCAAGCACCATATTATATATCCATAACGTAAATTTATCTTGGGTATAAACGCTTTGCTTGAGGCAGTTCATGTGCTTGAGACTGTAGTAATACCATTTAATACACTGAAATAAATGAGAACTATGTAACCGCAATTAACATGCAGCAGAAAGAGGGAGTGGTTTTATGAAAGAGGCCATAATTAGCTGGTGGCAAGCCTGATGCTTGAGTCCTGTGTAGATAATTATTTGCTGCCAGTGAACTCAGAACACAAATACCAGGCCAGTCTACCCCTTCAACCACAAGTGCATCAATTCTTCTGCATGGCTGGCGTTGACATCACTTGCTTTCATATTGATACAAAAAGGGCAGCAAACAATATATTGTATGCTTACACGGTATTTTTTAAGTTACATATTTTGGAATACGTAAAAAAGGCCAAGTGATCCATAAAGCTGGTTTTTGGACGAAATGACCTTTATCGTGCACAATAAAAGCTCAAACTGATGACAGCTATCCTCACTGTTGGGAATTTGATTCAAACTACGATACAAACTGTGACTTTTTCTGCACATGGCATGTCACATTTGTATTCACATTTGTCACAAAAGCATGACACAATTGTTCAGTTTCATTTAAAAAGCCAGCAGTGCATGGGCTACCTTAAAGCAGAGCTAATCCCTCCTATCCTTCACAGCCAAGACAGCTTTCATCTTGGCCTCTGTTTGATTTGCAGTTGTCATGGTGCTGCATATGTGATCAGTTATGACATTGGCCATTTGATGGCTTAACAGCACAAGCAACTTTGAAACTATTGTTCACGGCATGCCTTGGCTGTTACTGGTTTGGTAAAGAGGTAAATCAATAGTTTAGTTTTGCTTTAAGAGGTAGGTACAAATATGCAATGCAGTGAGGTGTGTTTAGGTTTTAGGTTTCTGTATACCAGAAGTTGGACACTAAGGTTATAACGGAATTCTAGGAAAAAATGTATTTTCTAACTTTGGCTGTGCAAAAATGTTACCTCTAATGATGATTATCCTAGGTCATGATCGCTGACGGGTAAGGTAAAAATTCTAATTTCATTATTGGCAGGAAGCACAACCAGCGCTGCACTTCCAGCCATGGCTGCTATTAGAAAAACTATGGGGCCCCATACAGCCAACCTGATAGGGTCCCCATCCCAAAAAAACCCAGTTTATTATGCTTCAGTCATGAATGAACACAGTGAATAATCGGTACCAATCACTCATTGTGTGCACTCAGGAAAGGAAGGGGCTGGTAAATGTAACAAATTTACTGGCCCCTTCCCCCACTCTTAATCCTGAAGGATCCTATTGTGTGCTTGCAGCTGCCATTGGGAAGGAAGGAGGAGGAAAGCAGGCAGCACTGTGGTGGCACACAAGTGGGCCTGGGCAACAGGGGGAAATGTATGGGGCACAGGGAGGGTGATGGGTGCAACTGGGGGGCAATTACTGGAACCAATCCCCTGTATGGCTCTCTCTGCAGCAGCTGAAAGCCAGAGGGAGAGAAGAAAACAGTTTTCAGATGCTGCAGAGAGAGATATACAGGGGATAAGTTCCAGTAATTGCCCCCCTGCCACACCGATCACCCTCCCTGCCCACATTCAATTCACCCAGTTGCTTGGGCCCCCCTGCTGACCTGGGCCCCATACAGGAGGACTGATGGTACCCCCTTATCCATGGTCCTGCTTCAAGCACTGCTGGTATGAGAGCTATGCAGGCTGCAGCTCTCATACAGTGAAGGGAACGTGTCATTTACTCTCCCTGTACCCACCTCTTGCCCTTGGCAGCATGGTGGCTTAGCAGTTAGCATGTATGCCCAGCACCACTATAGTCCTACATTTGAATCCCAACCAGGGCACTATCTGCGTGCAATTTTAGATTTTTTTTTCTCTGTGCTTGCAAGCATGTTCAAGTACAGAACACACTAGGCACTGTTTACTCCATAGATTAGTTTAAAAATGACAGACATTCTTTATGCAATGGACTATGAAGAAGAGCTTGGTAAATGTATAAAATAAATATACATAAAGATTTTAAATAAAGACTAGTAAGCAGTTTGGCATTTGAAAACAAATTTTACATTCAAGCACCACAAACAATATCATAATGCAAGGCTTGCTTATAATAAAAAATATGTTTCTAGATCTTTTATATTTGTTATACACTTTGCTTCTCATCAGATGTTTGTTGGTATGACCTCTGTATCATCCAGTCTCTGCCCTGTGGAAACCAGTCTCTGATGAAGCAGATGGGTCTTACATACCAAGGATAATACATTTCCCACACACGGCTGGTCCCAGCAGACACCACTGCAAAGGCAGCATCTTGGGCAGGGTAGGCAGGCATGGAGATCTTATCTCTACAAGAGATGAAAATAGAGAGGAACAAAATGAAGCCACTGATTCATATGGTCTCATTTATTTTTTTCTTCAATTTTTTTATTTTAAAAGAACAGCAGGTTCCAACAACGTAAAACATTGCAATATTACCAGTATTAAGTGCGCCATGCCTGGGACCTCTTGGAAGTGGCGGTCCCGGGCAAGGCTCACTGAAGTGAACCAAACGGACTGCAAGTGTGAAAGCAAACTGGACCTGAGAACAGCATTCTCTTTAGATCACGGAGTACAGATGCAGGGATCACTGTGGTCTAGCTGGCAGAGATCATGGTGTAAGTGTACCAGGGAACACTTACTTAAAGCCCAGTGTTAGTGCAGACCAGCAGGGAAGTGAATTCAGCTCAGTCTCCAGTGTGAATGCACCCAATTCACTTTCCCCAGCTGTTCAAACATAAAATCTATCAATACACCTTTTTATCCAAACATAAATGCCAAAAATTGCTAAAAAAAAAAACTGGGGCTGGTTACAAAGAAAAAGCTTTAGAAATGGAATTTGATGCACTTATGTAAGCAGGCCCTGATTTGGTCATGCTGGCCAAGGTCCTCTCCCACCATCCTCCTGTCTCAGAATTGGGATAGGGGACCACACACCTGTAACATGGGGGACTCCGCTATCTTGGTCACTCATGTTCTGGCCTGAGGCCCACTTCCAGAAATAAAGGGATGTCAACACTTCAGCTTTTTTTTTATCTTTTTACTGTAGCAGCATCAAGGTGCACAGTTTGCTTCCAAAACACAGATTTCTTTGTACTCAGCATCAGTAATACTGCACAGTTCAAATTTAATTTTGATACAAGAGTACCAAGCACTTCTAGTACCCTCACTGTAGGTACCATTAGATGGGTTATTCTTCAGAGCATATACCAGGCCTACTCTGAAGGGTCCACTTCTGTGGGCTACAAGCTTACATGGTAGTGTGCTGATTGTAACCTCTTCCCATCCAACTCTGCCCAAACTCTTCCAGTCCTTGAGTATAAAGGACTATGCTAGCCACACCCAAAGTATCCACCCAGGGGAGAGGTTTGTCTAAAAAGGGTACTAACCTCTGCTTACATCTTCTATGATTGGAGAAAGCAGCCCAGTAAGCAGCCCAAGATTTTTCTGCCAATGAACGTTTCAGTGGACAAAGTAAATATTTCAAAACTGAATAAGATTTATGACAGTACTATCATTGTCTATGATTAGAGACCCGTATAGTTGCAGAGTCATAAAGCAAGACCTCTGCTACTACAAATGGAGCAGTACATGATAAGTTGGAAAGAAAAAGTTGTAGAAAAACAAGATAGCAATCCTGAAAACTGATCTGAGTGTTTGGGTACTTTTGAAATGAGGACACAGTGACACTCTCTGGGATGATGCCTTAGAGCTAACCTCGTCAGTTTTCATCAAGCTTCAGCTCATTGCAGACAGGAAAGCACATCTGTGGCAGAAAACTAAATTTCTGATTGCCACGGTGGTCTGAAAACCATAATTATCACTATTTTCTCCAATTCATGTTTAAAGAGCACTTCCACTGTATCAAAACATATAAGTAAATTGGTAAAGAATGTGGACGGGAGACATTAAACCTACTGTTGTAAAGACTGACAGGTATGTTTATTTTTATTCTCTTAGTCTGACCCAGGCACCCTAAGGACTCCCTAAAAGTAATGGTGGGTTGAAATGAGGATTTATAGATTATATACTTTTTAGACTATTAGGAATTATTTTTGAGCACATTTTCCTACATCTACAGTATTGTGGTTTTGGCTAGAGTAGAGAAAAATGACCACCCCTGCCAGTCTGTATTGCTGTTATTATCCCCACAAGAGGGATTCAGCCAATATCAGGGTTGTATTACTAAAGGTAAATAGACTGTGCACTTTGCAAAGTGCACTCTGCAAGAACAGTTGCTCCAGAACTTGGAGATGAGTAGAAGCCAGGGGCGGACTGACAACTCATGGTGCCCCCGGCCAATAAGCGATCATGGGGCCCCTGTGTCCTTGCCCAAACTCAAAAAAGCCTATGAAAAAGGTACCAGGGGCATCTCATGGGGCCCCCTACTGACCCAGGGCCCTCGGGCAGTGCCCGAGTTTCCAAATGGTCAGTCCGCCCCAGGTAGAAGCTCTGCTGGCTTCTATCATCCAATCATGTGCAAGCAAAAATGCAGTTTTTTTTAAAATTTTCCTTGCATATTCTTTATTCCTGTATTCTTTGCAAAGTGCAATTGCTCCAGAGCTGTAAATGAGGTGAAAACTTCCCTTTGTAACGTATACAGTTTACCTTTTGTAAATCAATCCCTATGTGTCTTGCTGACCATTTTCACTGAGACAGAAATTGATGTGAAATCTAAAATATTACATCAACAAATAAATGAATAAAGTGCAAAAAAGCGCAAAGGTGCAATCTGAGTGTTTCACTCTATAAATAGTGACTAACTATAAACAGTTCATACAACGAATCAAAAGTACTGATAACGTCCTTTGTGGAATTATATCAATTCAAAAAGTGCCCTCATTAGCACGTGCGGTTATTCGTAAAGAACAGATGTGCAGGAATTCGTGAAAGGAATCCACCCTTGGGGCGGATGTACACTCAGCAGACCAAACGTATTAATGCGCATGGGTTATTATCATCACACATCTGGGGGTGCAGCGGTGTACTGACAGCTCCAGGTCTAGTCATCCAACTCCATCCATTCATTGGGGTAGATACCAAGTGGTCCTACCGTTTACAGTTGTCACTAAAACAAGCAATTAGGGCAAATCTTCCAATGAGGTGACAACTGTCTAAGAGGGTAAATCCACTCACTCTGTAAATGTAGCCTTGACGTCGGTGGCCCCTTTAAGCCTAGGGAGCGGCTCAGCCCCGGTATGACAGCTGGACTGCAGTTTTCCTATTCTCCCTGCCACTGATTAGACATGGTGGTGGCAAGAGGGACTAAGAGCTCTGCCGCAGAGCATAGTCATTGCTAAAAGAAGCACAGGTTAAAGCAACACTCTTTTTTTATTCCTTTTTTTTTAACTTATTAAATATTATTATACTTTACTTTAAGTGGTAATAAACCTAAAATCAAACATTTATTTTATTGCAGCTTACCAATTAGATGTGGTGGCTGCATTAGTTTTCTTTTTAGGCTTCCTTTCCTTTTTTTTCACCTGGAGATCTGGCAGCAAGTCTGTTGTTTTTCAACAGAAACCATTTAACACTGACAGGGCTGCTTTCAATGATCAGCTTTTATTTATTTCTATAAAACCTATGTCCCATAAGGAAAAAAATGCTTGCTGTAACTGCTTATAAAGTGTGAGCTGAAGTTTGGCTGGATTTGTTATTGTATTTAAATCTGCTAATCAGGGGTGGACTGACCATTTGGAAACTCGGGGACTGCCCGAGGGCCCGGGGTCAGTAGGGGGCCCCATGAGATGCCCCTGGTACCTTTTTCATAGGCTTTTTTGAGTTTGGGCAAGGACACAGGGGCCCCATGATCCCCTATTGCCCGGGGCCCCATAAGTTGTCAGTCCGCCCCTGCTGCTAGTAAATCTAACACTACCCCCAGATTAACAATGCTGCTGTCCAAAGGTGCCCCTGTGCTCTTTCATCCAGAATGGGGGCACTCTAATACAGGAGGTGTGTTACTGGCCAGATCACCAGGTGAAAACAGAGGGGATAAAAAAAATATAATGAATGCAGCCACCACATCTAATGATTGACAGCCTGCAATATATTACATTTTTAATTTTGGGGTTAATACCACTTTAATGCCTTTTAATGTTCTGTGTTTATTTCCTTTTAGGATATTTTCATTATAATGCATTGTTTCCTCCAGGCTTCTGTGATTTTCTCTTTTTGTTTTTACTTACTGTCCTTTAAATTATTATGATGCTTTAATTAACAGAGAAGTATGACCAAAGCTTTTTTTTTGGCCATACTTGTCTTCTGGTCACAAGAGGGAACTCCTGTGACCCAGATTCAGCCGACAGTGGGCTAAAGTGAGCGCTGGAAGGGCACAGAAAAGGGCCTTTGACTGACAGTCACTGCTCTTTGGTCAGTGAAGAGTGAGAGCTCAGTAATCAGTGGTCATGTGTTCTTGATCTTAGAGCCAATAGGGGATGGCTACAGCATCAGGCCGATGCTGCAGCTATACACGTGAGTATGAATGTTTATTTTTTTTAAATCCCACTCTCCTTTAAGTGTTCAAAATTTCAACAAAACAATTTTTTTACTCACTTGACTTTTTCCATGGCGGATTGGGTATCAATAAGGCCAAGGATGCACAGCGTGATGGAGACGGGTACATTTTTCATGGCTAGTTCATGTCGCAGAGAACCAAAGAAACCTTCCAATGCAAACTTTGTTGCACCATATGAACTGGTAAATGGGGTTGCAACTTTACCTGAAAGATCAAAGTAACATATCAGAATAGAACCTCAGGTTAATTTCATTTATGTAACATCCTCATTAATCTTTTACGTACACTTCAACAAAAGGAACTTATCTTAGTGTCGGTTCATACTCATGTGGTGTGGGAAACTGCATGTGATTCGAGCAGGAATCCCACAGCATTCCTTTTCAAATCACATGCGATTCTTTTCTGTGCAATTTGAGTCATTTTGTATGGCTCAAATCACACCACACCACACAAAAAAAAGGTGCAGGCACGTTTTCTTTGGCGCACTAGAATAGAATTGTATGAGTGTTCACACCCATGCAACCCAATTTACCCAATCACACTGCATTTTGCGACCTGTTTTTGGGGTGTTGTTAACATTGACCCCTGCAGTGGTTCGCATGAACAGTGTGATTGTCAAGCAGTGCGGGAAATGCAAAGGAATTGCTGTGAAACCCATACCACATCAGTGTGAACCAGCACTTAAAGTTGATATCAGGCTAAAAATGATTGTCTAAAGAGAACAGTCATGTAAATTTCTACATGTATCTTGGTGTGATTTTTAAATTTCTTCCAGATCTGTGCAGTAATTCATCCTGAAACAGCTCTTTAAAAGAAAAAAAACTCTATGTGGTCACTATACACAACAGAATCACCCTAAGATAATCTGATTTTAAAACTATGCATCTCTTCTGCTAACATACGGTACCTGTAGGTCATTTTCACAATAAGGGAAACCTAAGCTGCAAATGCGTTTCGCAGCTCTGTCTAGAACAGAACAACCATTAGGACCAGCCCCCTAGCGCTACAGGATTTAAAGTGATGCAAGAGATTTGGATTGATATAGGATACTCCAAAACCAAAATGTATCGCTAGTAGAGGATACTCTACTCAGTAGCACTAGTGAGAGTTGACTGGAGCAGTCAACGGTTCATGACTGGGGACCAGGAAGCAGTTTGAGTAGAAGTAGAAGCTTTAATCACGAGATCCTTTCTATGTGGATACAGTCAGAAACCAGGTGGGGAGGAATAAAAACGTCTCTTTAATTCATCCAAGGAGTATACCCAAACAGAGCCAAAACTAACACGTTTTAGCCTATCAAGGCCTTACTCATAATTCTAAGTAAGGACTTGATAGGCTGAAACGTGTTAGTGTAGAGTGACTCTATTTGGAATGTGTTCTCCTTGGATGAAATAAAGAGAAATTTTATTCATCCTCACCTGGTTGCCGACTTTATCTACATGGAAGGTCTCTTGTGTTGCGGGATGGAGACCTTAAGTCAGGCCCTAATCTAAAGACCTTTCTAGCCCTAATTGCATGATTGGGTTGCAACACCATTATCTTCCATATGTGTTTGGATTTACTCACTGGATAGACAGTCCATAGGTGCAGCCTCTTTTGAAGTAGTCCAATATTCAGTCCATAGAGCTCCAGGGGCATGCACCCCTTGCCTCTCAGCTCTTTCTCTATCTCCTCGGGGGGAAAAAGACATTCTCCTCAAGGCTCCTTACTATTGAACAGCAAATTAACCACCATCTTGGCACACCTTCCCAGGGATTGGTAAGGATCTACTGAATATTCAGGCTGGGCATTTGAATTCTTCCACCCTAAGGATTTACTCACTGTACATAGACAGTCCATAGGTGCAGCCTCTTTTGAAGTATTCCAATATTCAGTCCATAAGGCTCCAGGGGTGTGCAACTTGGGGGGAAAAGACAGGCTCCTTACTATTGAACAGCAACCTAACCACCATCTTGGCACACCTTCCCAGGGATTGGTAAGGTTCTGCTGAATATTCAGGCTGGACATTTGAATTCTTCCACCCTAAGCTCTAGAAATGTCATCTGGACACAGAGGGAAGAAATCAAACTCTCGGCCCGTGAAGCTCTGAGCAGACTAAATCAATCAATCAATCAATCACTGCTCCTGTGATTACTGTAGAAGCTAAAACAAAATATGCCTAGCAGCCTAGCTAGGAAGGCACTACACATTTTTCTATTTGGACCTCATTTTCTATATATGTTGAATTAACAAAGACATAAAAAAATCAAATACATGGCGTACATCTACTGTAATAGATTTTTCGAGAATGAAAATAAAATTACCTGTAAGAGAGGACAGAACAACAATGGAGCCATTTGATTTTGTCAAGTGGGGGAGAGCCATGGTGGCAAGGTGGACATAGCTGAGAAAGTTTACCTGTAAGCATAAAAAAAGTTAGAAGGTTCAAATGAGGTGACTGCCAATAAGTGGTTTAAGTGATATGAGACTAACATTTCCTGAAATAGTAAAACAAGCTTTGAATATAAGATAGGATATTATTCTGAATAGAAAAAAGCAACACAAACCTCCATTAGCCACCTTGTATACTGGACATCTCCATCCCACATTTGAAATGGACTTGAGCCAATGTGGTTTAGCACCAGATAGTCCAAACCTCCTGCAAAAATACAGACAGTAAACTGTTAATAGACATTTTTTTGCCAAAAAAACATAGAAAGAGATTAATAAAACAGTAAGGCTGCATTAAAATTTTCACTTGGTTTACTTTACCATTCTGCAGTGGCTTCAAAGTGAAAAGGTTTTTTTTTTTTTTCCTTAATGCACTCCCTGTGTTAAGGTAAAAAACACCCCATTACCGGTTCAAACCTCCCCTCCCCCAAACACTTATCTTGTTCCTCTCACTGATCCAGCCCTGTATCATTTGCAGCTTTGCTCCTCTCTCTTCCTGGTCCCACAGGATACACTGAGAGCAGCGGAAGCCATAGGCTCCAGCTACTGTCAATCATACTCCTGTGAGGAGGGGCAGGAGTGTGCCTTGATGTGGTGCTGTTTGTGTCTGTGATCACAAACAGTCCGGCTTGGGAGAGACTGCAAGGGTGCTCCATAGCATCTAGTATGCTAAGGTGGCACTCTGAGGAGGGAGGAGCAGACAGCACCAGCAGTGGACTACCAAAAAAAGAAGGTATGGGACCGCTCTGTACAATATCATGGCACACAGTGGGTAAGTATAACATCTTTTTTATTTTATCACAAAAAAAATAATCCTTTAACCACTTCCTGTCTGGCCCATGTACATAAACAGCCGGATGGGAGCAGTGCAGGAGTGGGTGGCCGTTTATAAACGTCCCCCCCGCATTCCCTGCCTGTCCTCCAGACACAACAGATCACCAATCACTGTACGGGACCTCTGTGTGAGGTTCTGATCATGTGATCACTGATTGGCCAATCAGTGATCACATGAATAATAGTAAGCAAGATGTCACTTGCTGGCTAGAGAAATCTGTGACTAATCACAGAGGTCACATGGTACAACACTATTCACAACAGCCTTGTACCATGTGACAAGCTGTGACCAATCACAGCTCTCAGAGTATTTCTCAATGGCTGCAGGAATGCTGCCAGAAAGAAGGAGAAATTATTGCTTTTACTGCCTTTATGGGTGTAAAAGCAATCAGTGTAAAAAAAAAAAATCTTCATCACCACCCACTAGTAGTACAGTGTCGCTATGTTGACACTGTACTGCTAGGGTGACAGTATGTTAAAAAAAAACATAAATAATATAAAAAAAAATAAAAATGTAACAACAATTTGAAAAATTATAATTTTTGGTTATAAACTAATTTGGGTTATTTTTTTTTACTAAAAAGATACCTGAATACATTTTAGCCAAGATTTATGAAGAAAGATTATTTATTTGCAAACTTTTATAAGAAACACACTTTTTTTTCAAAATGTTTGGACTTTTTAATTTATATGGCAAAAAAATAAAAATCCCAGTGGTGAATAAATACCACCAAAATAAAGTATTATTTGTCTCAAAAAAATGCAAACAAAATTCATATGGGTACAGTGTTGCATGACCAGGTAATTGTCATTCAAAGTGTGATAGCACTGAAAGCTGAAAATTGGCCTGGACAGGAAGGGGGTGAAAGTGTCTGGACCTGAAGTGGTTAATATCACTTTAATGTATAGGCATATGTCCATTGGAGTGCACTGCCATTTATTTAGAATGGCACCTAATGCAAGTATACCGTCAGAACACACCTGTGTTATAGCACATTAAAACCCACAAATGTGAATACTCTGTGTGTTGTGGTGCACTGTAGTGGCTAAAATACTGGAGGTGTGTTTTTTTTATGCGTTGAAGTACTAAAAAATTCAAAATGACAGGGCTGCCTAAGGGCTCGTTTACATGAGCAGCACACTCTACTGCCTGTCCGATACGCATCATTTTTTCAGAGAGCAGCAGAATGGAGGCTGCAAGGCATTCAAGAAGCAATACTGCCACCTCCCAAATGACCCTTTTTTCTCAGCCGAAAGGCAAATTTCTATTACAATACTGTGCAGCAAAAACAAGCCAAGAGTTTCACTTGCGGTTGTGGCGTGACACCATTTACTTGGTTTGTGTTTATCAGTGGTAGTGCCTGCCAAATGTAACCAGACTTTGCCATGCCACAACCATTGCTGTGTGTACTAACATGACTGCTGGCCATCATAACTTGCAGCTTGACAGTTGGGGGGTAAAATCACAGCGTAAGTGCCTATTTTTACCTCTCCCCTAACCACCTTTATAAATGAGTCCTAAATGCAACACACATTAAAGCCACTTGTTTATGGGGCTGCCTGCGTTCTAGACCTTCATTCCTGAATGCATAGGGCCCCGTATGTTAGTACCTAGTAGTCAGTAGTCAAGTCACAGCCTGCCATAGACGTCAACGGGCTGCAGGCAGCATTGCTGTATACTGCAACTGACCCTCCTGGATGCACTGGGATGAATACTACCAGCCCTGTGTGCAAGGAGCCTTAACCGTGAAAAATAACATACATTTACGCATGTGCCATAACACACTACAACAGGAAAATTGGCAGTGATAACCAGGGAAAACATCTACAAGCACTGACGTTTTATGGATAATAAGGGCTCATCCAGATAAACTTTTTTTTTTAACCCGCAGCAAACATGGAAGCAAGTCTATTCATTTTGGTCTGGTCTCTTTGTATTAAATGCCTTCATACATTTAAATAGGGCATTGAAATGCTCAGGCAATGCACACAAAAGTACAGGAAAACTATTCAAACTGCATAAACGGAGTGATAAAAATTCTTTTCTTATTCTTTCTTCAATATTCTTCTACTTGAGTGAATGAGCCCTAAAGGTACCGTAGTCTGTCACTTCACATTTCATGAATAGATGAAAACTTCAGTTGTTAACAGTAATGAAAAATATTTCAGCTATATTTGTAGGGAATATTTGGTCTTTTCAATTTCATTTCAAATATACACATGAACGAGATCAGCGCTACTTAAATAATATTATTTTATATTAATGTTTAAAAAAAAACTTGTTTATTTGTATGTAGCACTACCCCCTTAGGAGTCACTGAAGTTTTGGGTTCCTCCAATAGTCCTGCACAGCCAGGCAATACTCTTCTATTCAGACTTGCATCCAAGAGACAGTAACCAGTCCTGGAGCTTGTTTATTGGGAGAGTTTTATTAGGGGAATATGAACTTGGATGGGGTAAGAGGTGTGTGGAATGCTCAAAGGAACATGGCAACAGAGGACAACTTCCTGGAACTATATACAGGTCTCTCTAGCAGCAAACTTCTTCTGGAGAGCTAGCCAGCATCTCCTGTAGTACCACCCCAGACCCTAGATATTTATCTATCCAGCTGTTCTGGGTGAATCCCTGGGCAGGGGATCCAGTGCCTGTCACTTTAAAGTAAGACAGTCCCGGGTTGCAGCTAATCCAGTTTCCCACCAGACTGCTCCTTCCTCTTACTGGCCCAGGGGGTGCAGGTCTACTCATTCAGTCCTCCTCCTATGAGTTGCTGGGTCAGTAGCTGCTCTCATGTCTTCTGCTAGGCCACTCCTACTCTGCTGCATAGGTGGTCCTTTCCTCCTTCCTGCTCCACTGCCTGTAGGTAAGCCCCTTCCCATCTGGGCCCCCTCCCAGGCTCCTGCTTTCCAGCCTCACTTCTCCATCTTCCACTCGAACTCTCCTGCTGCTGAGCAGGCTCTGTAACTCTTATGGGCCGTCCTGACCCCATGCCAAGCCTCCTGTTGGGGATTGGTCAGGATCCCTCAAGAGTGCAGAGCAGCCACTCCTCACCTCATCCCAGTGCTTCTAGAATTTTCCCCAAAATGCTAGAGCAGAGGGAAGTCCCAGAAAGCTGGTTTGAAGAGCCTCTCAGCTCTGACCTGAATTTGGCCTCTGACTATAACCACAGGCTGCTACTCAGCCTCTGACTACAAAAAAACAGAGATATGGTCCGGGGAGCCCACACACATTTTAGGAAAAATGAGGTGCTACCAAAGCAATCAGGTGGGGTGTTGGCAAAACACAAGCCATACAAACAGAGAGAATAAAATAGGCATACAAACCCAATTGGCTACTACTCGTAGACATTTATTAGAAAAAGACATAAATGGTAAAAGCATCATGAGTCCGTGACCCAAACCCCCTGAACCACCCAGATCCCCCCAAGAAGAAAACCATCACCAGCCTAAACCACACTTCCCTGCTACCTATTCCCCACCCCCCAGGACAGACCCTACCTGACCCCCTCCCAAACGGAAACACCCGCCAAAACCCCCCAACCCGGAAGGAGCTCAGGAACCCACCCACATCAAAGTCCCCACTAATAGTACATTCCCCTATTACCACATAATCTAAAGACCAATACTGATGGTCCTAAAGAAACTGGTGGTAAAGGTCTCAATTACACCCTAAGCTATGTTTCTGAACTGCTACCTCAAGTACAAATAAAATGGAGTTGTACTGAGCCTCTGGCTGCCTCAGAGCTGTTGGAGTGGAAGCCTGGTATCACTGAAGGTGTGACTTGGGACTGCACATAGTTAGGCCATCACTTTGGATCCCACGGAGGGGAACACACTGTGGGATACCGGATGCTGGGGAGACAACTCTAGTGCAAACTTGGTCAGGCTGGGGCAAGTGGTGGATAGGAGATGAGGTCTCCCGGTTGTCAGTGTGGAGCAGACCCTCTCTGTGTAGCACACAGCAAGTGACCTGGATCCCCGTGTCACATGGGCCCCGGGTGTTCAGCATACTGTCTGAGCCCCATCCTGTAACCACATGGAAAACATCAGATGCAAAGATTGTCCCCAACCATTAGAGGTCTGTTGCTATGGTGGCCAGGAGTATGGTGAGTAAAGGGTTTATAAGCTGCCATATGTGCACACTAGCTGCAGAGTTCTGTGTGGGTTGTGGACTGCGTGTGGCCGGTGTGTTAGGCCTTAGCCCTGTTCTGAAGCGGGCACCTTAGTGGGATGTGTGGGTAACTTTGTCACGTTGGCCCAGCTTTCATACTGACATACAGTACCTCCCAACTATAGAACCTGAGAATGAGGGACACTTCAGAGACACTGACGTCGTGGTCCTGTAGCTCACTTTGCCAAGAAGTGGCTGCGGTTGGAT